TTAGTTGCTCTTGCAAACTGCTCTTTTTTTCTAAATAGAAGGCATATAAAGAGTGGCATTTGAAACATGGTGGGTAACCTTTTGTGTCAGACATCTTTTGTTGTCATAAAATAAATGGTCACATAGTACAAAGCAAAGTATTTTTATTTTTCTCATCCTAATTCCAAAATGAAGAGCTAAGTAATTAAAAATTTTATTGTTAATCATTCATTCAAAGGTGCCTGGGTGGCTCAGTTGGTTAAGCATCTGCCTCCACTCTGGTCGTGATCTCTAGGTCCTGGGATTGAGCCCTGCATCAGGCTCCCTGCTCAGCGGGGAGATCTTGAGCTCTGGAATGCCCCTGGAAGGGATGGGCCTTAGGCAGGAGGAGGGTTTCCTTTTCTATTCTGAAATGAAGCAAGTATTGGTACAGAGCCACATAAGGATTAGTACGGGGAGGACTTCTCTTTCAGTGGCTTCCTTTTTCTCTGTAACAGTGTGGCTTAGTCATTTGCTGAGAATGAGGGGGAGAATGAAGGGGTAAGAGGTCCAAGAGAGTGGAGAATGTTACTGGTCATTGTAGAGAATAGGAGAGCAAACTAAATGGATAAGTACACCAGGATCAGTGGACAGCATTGAGGCCCAAGTGGTTTCCTAATATGCTTAGCACACTGGGTACCACCATGGGGAGGGCCAATGAAGGGATTCTACTAGGACCTTGGTTCTCACTTCTTGATTTCAGAACCCCTTTACATCTTTAGTTGATGGCTCCAGAGAGCTTTTGTTTATATAGGATGTATTTATTGATAATTATGCAATTAGAAATCAAAACTGGGAAATTTAGGGGCATCTGGGTGGCTCAGTTAAGTACCTGCCTCTTGATTTTGGCTCAGGCCAGGATCCCAGGGTATTGAGATCGAGCGTCATGTCAGGCTCCGTGCTGGACGTGGAGCTGGACGGGCTTGAGATCTTTCTCTCTTCCCTCACCCACTCCCCTTACTCATGCATGAGTGCACTCTCTCTCTCTCTCTCTCTCAAAAAATAATAATGATAATAATAATAAAGAATTAAAAATTAAAACTGGGAAATTTAAAAATACTTACATTCCATGTTGACTTATATTTTATACTATAGTAAACCCATGTGTGTTAACATAGTGCTCTTATGAAAACTGTATTTTCCAAAACAAAAGAAATTAGCAAGAAGAATGACATTTTTTACAACTTTGCAAATCTTTTTAATCCCTGTCATGTTAGGAGATAGTTGGAGTCTCCTGTTTCTCCATTCAGCCTGTTGCGATATGTTGTTTTTGTTCAAGTATATGAGGAAACTTCATTTTCACATAGCTAGGTCATTGGAAAAGGTAGTATTTTAATAGCCTTTTCAGATAATTGTGGATATTCTTCTTTGATACTATACTAAAACTACACAAATGGTAAATTTTTAAAGATGAGAGTATGGATTCTGGCTGATACCAATGAACTTTTTTTTTTTTTAAAGATTTTATTTTTAAGTAATCTCTGTACCCAACTTGGGTGTCAAACTTGACACACCTTGATCAAGAGTCATATTCTCCACTGGCTGAACCAGCCAGGTGCCCCATCAGTGAACTTTTTATATATTACAGTCTATTGATCTGTTATGCTCCAGATCTATTCTAATCTAGTCTGCTCATAAATCTTTTGCCTATGCATAATTTCGGAGCTTGTTTCCTTTGTACTGTCATAGTTTGCTGAGTTACATAGATCTTCTACATGGTGATATGTTTCAGTAGATGATGTAAAAATGGCATTCATTAATATCACCACTGATTCATCTGAAAAGCTTTCAAGTATTGGGAAGCCCTCAAGTTCATAGAGTTGGCTGCAAGGTTGCCACCATTCTGATTTTTGCTTGAAAGATGGAATTTTATCATAGGCAAGAAATAGTATCGTTGTCCTTTTAGTAACAGGCTTGCTTTGTCTAGCTTTGAGAAAGCGTCTGCTAAACAGGAGACAGCTATCCTACTTTATTATGTAGCAGAACTGCTTTATTTGTTTGATTTCATCACACCGGATAGTAAAAGATGAAGAATACAATGAACTCTGAGGCATAAATAAAGATCAGTACTTTATTTGTGCTGAGGTTCCAGTGGGTTTCAGCACCCCTGCTTTTGTACCATCAGTGCAAGTATGATCGCAGGGAAGGGGGGGGCACATAACCTCTTAGTATTATTATGATAATATGTCTGACCTTGTACAACCTCTGAAAAGGTCTTAGGGACCCTCCAGAGGTCCATGAACAACATTTTGAGTATCAATGTTCTGGGCTAAGATTTTCTTAGCCCAGAGATTTTCTTTCCAATTCCATTGGAATTGGGGTGTGGTAGTAAAAGATGCTACCGTAGACTGGACCACAGACTCTGGCCTGGAGAGTCCTTTACTTTCTTTCTACATAGCTGTTCCTTCTGAGAGGATACCAATGTGTGTTTGTCAGCTTATTTATATGAAATGTGACGGGGTGCCTGGGTGGCTCAGTTGGTAAAGCGTCTGCCTTTGGCTCAGGTCATGATCCTGGGGTCTTGCTCTGTGGGAGTCTGCTTCTTCCTCTGCCCCTCCCCCGATTTGTGTATCTCTCCCCCGCCCCCAACTCCCTCACTCCCTCTCAAATTAAAAAAAACAAAAAAAAAAGATGAAGCTTTAAATGAAAATACAACAGCTATGTAGTCAAAAGAAATGGCTGATGCTGGGATAAGATATTGGCAGTGAAGAACTGTAGCTTGCAATACTGGATCAGTTCAGAGGATTTAAGGACCAGAGTTCTAGTTATGCGTGTTACTCATGAGACTCAGTAAATTGTGAGAATGTCCCCTGCCCTTTCTAACTCTCAGGTCTCTCGTGTCTAAACTGGGATTAATATTATTTGCTTCCAACTTTCTCAGGTAGTGTTGATGTTGGGACGATGCCATCAGTTCTTTATTCCAGGGAATACCTTCAACTTGATATCTGTAAAGCTGTGTTTAGCGTGTGGTAGATGAATCAGTAAATGTTCATTGAGTTAATGGACTAAAACAAAGCTGTTTATTGTGAGAAATTTAAACATATGCAAAAAGAATTATATAATGAACCTCTCTCTATCCTTGTCTTAACACTTTGTAACTCTAGAAAATACGAACATGTTCCTTTATAAACAAGATGTGATCATACCCAAAAAAATTAGTTAGGTCCTTAATATCATTAAATACTCTTCTCACTCCAGTGTCTGCAATTGAATGAAAATATGTACATACATGTTTTTTACAGTTGGTTTCTTCAAGTCCGATACAGTCAATCCACTCGTTGCATTTGTTTACTATGACTCTTGGTTTCTTTTAATCAAGAACAATTTCATTCAAACCCTTCCCCCCTTTTTATGCCATTAACTTGTTGGAGAAACTGGCTAGTTTGGTAAGTGTCCCAGTTTTTTTATTGCTTCCCTGTGATGGTGTATAGTTTATTTCCCTGTTCCCTACATTTCTAATAAACTAGAGATGAGACCTACCATCAACAGATGAATGGATAAAGATGTGATGTGTGTGTATGTGTACACACACACAATGGAATATAACTCAGCCATCAGAAAGAATGAAATCTTGCCATTTGCAGTAACATGGATGGAACTAGTGGGTATTATGCTAAGTGAAATAAGTCTGAGAAAGACAAATACCATACGATTTCTCTCACGTGGAATTTAAGAAACAAAACAGATGAACGTAGGGGGCGGGAAGGAAAAATAAAAATGGAGGCAAACCATAAGAGACTCTTAGCTTATAGAGAACAAACCAAGGGTTGCTAAAGGATAGGTTAGCGGGGGGAAGGAGTGATGGGCATTAAGGTGGGCACTTGATGTAATGAGCACTGGGTGTTACATGCAACTCAGAAATCACCGAATTCTACCCCTGAAACTAGTAACACACTGTATGTTAACTAAATTGGATTTAAATAAAAATTAAAAAAAAAAAAGACTTAAATGTGTGATTAGATTGACATGGAGCTTTTTGGCAGGAATACTTTGTAGATGCACTGTATACCTCCTACGTGTATAATATAGGAGACACTTAATGTTTTCCTGATGCCAGTCCTTCAGGTGTGGTGCCCTGAGCTGTTGATTGTTCACCATCAATTTCTATTGTCATGATCTTAGCATCCATGATTATTGTCAGAGTGAATGAGCTTGGACACTGAGGTGCTAAATACATGTGTGGAGATATTACTGAGGTACTGTTACAGATACTACTAATGAAGTAGGGCAGTAGCATTATTTGAGCTAAATCATTAGTGGAATAGTATCCAAGATGGATAGCTGTAGACGATGGTAACATCATCAAAATTAGGGACCGTAGGTTTAACAAGAGACTAATGTATGTAGTATAGAACTAATATTTTTTTCTCCTACGGATTTAGAGCTTGTCTCATAACATTGAATCCTATAAAACAAATAGCTTTAAATGATTTTGTTAATACTTTCAAACCATTTTATGTCTGCATTAAGAATTAATACAATTTTATGGCTTGATTAATACAAATATAATTAATTGATACAAAAAGATTACAAGTGACAAGAAGAACTTGGACACACCCTTGGAGCTGTCTGGGTAATGGGAGTTAAGATGTCAAATATGGTTAACCCTAAATTTTGTTCAGTTGTTTCTGTTGGGAGAAAATAAAGCATCTGGTTTTATGTGGTTTGTAATGAATTCATTTGTAGAAATTATCTTTGAAACCAAACATTGGGAAATCAAATCAAAACAATGTGGACAATTGGAAAATATTGTTGGTTTCTTCTCTTTGCTATTGGATAGTCCTGTTAAAATGATGCTGTAAGAAAAATACTTCATATTTAGAGCGGGGTAGAAGATAGGTGCCATGTTCAAGAAATCAGTATAATCTCTGTAGAATCAAACTTGACCATACTCTTGAAAAACTGAAAAGTGTTTTTAGGTTGATGGTAGAACATGAAATTTTTTTCCCAGGGACCTATTAATGTACTTCTTTCTTCAATAGGAAAATAGAAAGTATTTCAAGCGTAGTGAACTTGCAAAAAAAGAAGAGGAAGCATATTTTGAAAGATGTGGCTATAAGGTATGACTGCTTGCTTTTATGTTATTGTATATTCGAGTTTAAATTTTTATAGCTGTTGTTAAAGTGACAAAATTATTGATCTCTGTTCACTTTATCAATGTTATATATTAGCCTATAAATGAGAAGCCATCTGGAGAGGTATGAGCTTTTTTCTTTTCTTTTCTTTTTTTAATCTTGAATTCAGGAAAATACATGCATGACTTTTAGCTTGGAATGGTTTGGCTTTTTGTGGACAGCATGAAGTGGCTTGAGATCAAAGCTTGAATTTTTTTTTTTTTCTTTCAATTCCTGGATCTGATACTGCCTCATCTTCATCACCACCACCATGCCTTTCCTCACCTCTCCCAATAAAAGTCTATTTTAAAGGGTTTCAAAACATTTTATTTATTCAACCACCGAGGTGTTACCAGTGGTATTTTCCCCACTTTCACTTGAATATTTTAAGCCATTCTTTTTGTTTGCATTGTTGGTTCCTTTTGGCCCTAAGTACCTCTGTCTGAGATAGTAAGCCATACATTTATATGCTTTTGTGTAATAAGGTACCACATTTGAAACACTGCTTGTCTATTGTATAGAAAATGTATAGAAATATTTGTTAGAAACAAGTGAGTTGTCTGGAAGACTATACTTTTGAAGCATGACTAAAAGTATCCTTAAGGTTCCCCTATTATTACCCTATTCAGCTATTATCCTAGTTGAATAATATTTTGGCGTTTTTATTGGGAGGGGTTAAATGTTATGAGGTGAAGTTCTGTTTAAATTATTTTAAAAGAAGACAATATCTAGTGTGATGATTTTTTAAACAATACTTAGCGGTTCTGTTGAAATATTTTTGCCAGATCATAAATTTGACATCAACTTTTTGCTTGTGAAATGTATATAATATAATATTCTTGTGCATGTGATGGGGAAAGTTCTAGAAATTAATCTAGCAAAGCACTTCTAGACGGAAGCATGAGGAATGCAAATGGTATGTATATGCATTTGATTTTGTCTTATAGTGTGGCAGAGGGCAAGTGTTAATGTAGTTTTACATTTCTGATAGATTTCTAAAATACGAAAGTTTGCATTTGTATTTTATATTTCCCATAAATATATTGGTTTCATTTGTTTCCAGTTTAGGAAGTTAAAACATAATTCATGTAAATAGCCATCAAATAGATACTAAGAAGAATTCTTTTGCTTACCCATTGTTGTCTAACTGACACTTGATCTGGAATGATCTGGAATAAGAATCATTGACCATGGGTTTAGTCTGCTGACTTGTTGCTTTCCGCCATTCCTAAATTTGAACCTTTTCCACTTTTTGGTAAGGTAGGAAAATAATTTAAAACGGGCGGTTTTGCGTTGTTTAGATTGCTTCAGTGATGTGTTAGTACTTGTTGATACAGAGCAAAGCACTGAAGCAAAATCACTACTGTAAAGTTACTGGTTACAACATGGGAGTCCTGCTGACAACATGTCTTCGATTTTTTTTTTCCTACAAGTGATGAGCTGGCATTCTATAATTAAAAATGCTTTTCATCCTCAGAGTTTGCGAGAAATACCTGTTTTTATGCTTAAAAAGAAAGGGTTTTCTAAAACATGTTTAGTATTTCCTTCTTGGTAATAATGAAATATAGCACATTACCTTTATTCCTTTATGAAAACTAGTTACCATTTATGAGGCTTGAGGCTGATGTGGTTTGTGAAAAATCTGGAAGTTTAGTTTTTTCTTCAGTTTTCTGTCTGTACCAATTAATATAACCTTTAACGCTTAACTACAGAATCAGAAATGATAAAATTTTAACGATATAGCCTTTCTTAATTGCTTTTTCCCCCTTAATGTTGACCTTTTATTTTTTTTATCTTTTTTTAAATTTTTTATCTTCTTTTGGCATTTTAGATTAGTTTCATGATCAGATGGAAAACCGTGTTTGAGTATGTTTTTACAGACCACACATGCCATGGGTCTTACAAATTGCTGAACTTAATTTTCCTAAACTGTGAGCTGGGCAGCAGACTCAAGAAAGCACATGAAGAGATTTTTTTCCCCTGCAGGTCCCTATACACAAGAATGTCCACTCTGTGTGGATGATTGGGAAGGTGCTAGAGCTGTTGTTGATGCTGTGGTGCTGTTATTTCCTTGGGGTTCATAGTGCAGTTTGGGGGCAGATCTCTGTAGCTTTGGGAGTGTTTCTGCATGTCCAGCAGTGATTTCAGTGCACTTGGAATCCTGCCTTTCAAAAAGGAGGGTAGGAAATAAACAGGAGCTTGAAGCATCACGGGTTTCTTAGAAAGCAGGTTTTTTTTGGGTCTTCATTTAAAACCCAGAGCAAGGATCTGGGTTTTAACCCTGTCAGATAATTTTCTCAAAGAAGAGAAGCCAATTGATTGTTTTTAAGAAAAAAGTAAAATTCTTAAGAGTCTAGGGAGGAAGGAGTCTAAATTACAGCCCTTTTAAAAGTTTTTGATTTTGGAAACCATTATATTTCTGTCACTTTTCAGTAGCAAGAATGCTGTCTCCTGTGTGCATGTTTGCTACTTGTGTCCCTAAAATGGAGGCGTTTGATGAGTTTTCAAAAGCATGTCCATTTATTAGGAGCTTTTTCCTTGGTCGAACATTTAGAAAACCTGGAATATTTGAAACATGTTTAATTTCCATTACCAACTAATGCACAGAATGGTAAATATTAGCTGTATTATACTTTAAAAACCTAAATTTAATTCTTTGGCTATTAATACAGATACAGCCAAAGGAGGAGGACCAGAAACCATTAACTTCTTCAAATCCAGTGCTAGAACTTGAACTGGCAGAGGAAAAGTTACCCATGACTCTTTCTAGGCAGGAGGTAAGTTTATATATAAGTGTTTGATTGGAAAAAAAAAAAAAACTCCAGAGCATTTGCATTTATCTTCCGTTCTTTCCAGTAAGCTTGTGTCATTATTGCCTATATAACATGTCTGGCTGAACTAAAATAATGTGCAGCTAGCCACTTTCCTTCTTGAGATTCTAAATCTCCACGCCTTTTTTTTTTTTTTTTTTTTTTAAAGAGAGAGAGATTGCATGCACATGAACATGGGAGAGGGACAGAGATAAAGGGAGAGGGGAGAAGCAGACGCCCTCCTGAGATAGGGACTTGGGGGCTCTATCCCAGGGCCCCGAGATCATGACCCAAGCCAAAGACAGATGCTTAATCCACTGAGCCACCCAGATGCACCAATCTCTGCTTTTCTTCATACTCTTAAAGTTTTAAAAGAATATATTTTTCTAAACTTTAAAAATTAAACACATTGTTCTAATACATATTTTTAAAGTAATTATACATAGATTATTTGTCTTAAATTATTTTAAATACACATTTTGTAACAATACATCACTCTAGGTCAAAACACAGTTCTGTATAATTTTTTATAACTATATAGTTTCCCATAATATTTTAAAAACCTATTATTATTTTAAAAATTAAACCGTAATGGTCAGTTAGATTGCTTCAGGATTTCCCTATTATAAATCCTACTGAGATGAACATTTTTATACAGATGTCATTAGATGCATGCTAACTAACATATGATTGTTCCCTTTGGAAAATTTGTGAGAAGCATGATTTCTAGAATCTGTTGACTAAAGACTGTGCGTTTCTGTGACTCGGGGTACATATCACTACAGGGCTCTTGTAGACATGTTGCCCCAGTTTGTACGCTTAACTGCAGTGCTCATCTGTACATGGGCCAATACCAACTGTTACTTTTCTGAAAAAGCCAAAAACCACAAAAATTTCAGTATACTCCTGTGACACGAAGACTACAGACTATACGGGGTGGAGGCGGGGGAGGGAACCAAACAAAAATGAACTTGGAATGGGAGGATAGAAAGGATGGCTGACCCTAAACGCTGTCATGGGAGTCAGATGAAGGGTTTTGGAATACCGAGCCTGAAGAGAAGAATATTGGAGATCTTAAAAAAAAAATCCATTGACAGCAGGTATAATTTTGAAAACATTTTATATCTTCTGTGGTTTCATGAAGTAGAAATGAGATAAATAGGGAGAATTTTGAAGCAGAGATTTTAGTTGATTGTGAGAAGTAAAAGCTATCTGTCCCAAACTGGTATGACCTGTTGCATAAGAGATGTGGTCCCTGTCATTGGTCAATTGCGGACCTCGTAGAGGTGCATTTGAGGTCATTTCTGCGTTGATGGGAGGTAGCACCAGATGGCCTCATAAGCTGCTTTTGAATACCGAGCTTTGGTTAACTCAGTGGGAGCTCGACCAGTGGTTTCTGTGCTACTATTTATGTTTCCAGATAAAGTTCTTGGTACTTAAAAAACATTTTGGGTCAACCTTTATTTTTCTCAGTTATAATTTTTTCTTATGAAATGGAACGTATATACAAATAGCACACAAAACATGCATGTACAATATAATGGAAGATTCTCAAACAGACACCCATTGACCATCACCCAAGTCAAGACACAGTATTCTCAGTCCCTCAAAAGCCTGCCCTGTGCCCTCCCCTGATCATTACTCACTTCTCTTCTGGGAGGTAAGTGTTTGGTTTTCATGTAGTCTTGGCCATGGTCTGTGCGTTATCAGCTGATTCTGGACTGTATTTTCCTTCTACATAAATAAAAATATATAAAAGTTACCATTCCCTTCCATCTTAATGTTTTTCTTAGGTATTCTGTTACACAGATGGAGCCTTTGCTGAAAGAGTCAGCCAAAGGACCTTAAATATGGTAGGGTTTTTTAAAGTGTGACAGTAACTCATTGTATCCATTCATGGAAAATTAAAAAACAAACACAACTGACTTTTTCTGTCTACATTTCAAAATAAGTATTTTGTCACTTAAGGGAGGAATTACTATTACTCCAAACACTGGAATTACTATTACTGTTAATACTTCTTACAGGTTATCAGAAGATTGAGAGAAAGAGGAGAACCAATCAGACTATTCGGAGAAACCGATTATGATGCTTTTCAACGTTTAAGAAAAATAGAGATCCTCACACCAGAAGTTAACAAGGTAAGAAGTCAGAACAAAACTTGAGAAAGCTCACTGTACCACATAAACAAGAATAGTATGGAGTTTGAGTTATTGCATTATTTTAGGCAAAGATGAAAAAGTAAAGTTGCCAGATTATTGCTGCTGAATGTACGTTTTCTTTAATTCTTTTAAAAAGCACCTGTCTTAAGCATACAGTTCAGTGCATTTTGACGAGTCCACTCCAGGCATGTAACCACAACCCTTAGGAAGATACAGAAGGTTTTCACCACACTTTCTTGTGTGTCCAGTGCCCCTTCTTAGCCAGTCCTATTCCTTCTCCTCAATGCCTGAGCAAACACCTTTTAAAATTCTATCACTGTAGATTAATTTTGCTTGTTCTGCATTTCATAAAGATGGAGTCATGAGAGTATGTTTGGCTTCTTCTGCTGAGCATATTTTTAAAAAGATTGTTTCTGCAGAAATCGGTAGTTTGTTCCTTTTCATTGCTGGTGATAGTTGCCTGAATATCCCACCATTTGTTTCCAACTTTGGGCTGTTATGAATAACACTGCTATGAATAATTTTTAAACAGGTCTGCTTGGAACCTGTGTTACTTCTCTGTGGTAAATATGTTCTATCTCTTAGTAAATACCTGAAGAAGAATTGCTGAATAATGAGTAAATGTGTGCTTTAGTTTTTAAGAAATGCCAGGTGTTTCCAAATGTCATCAGTATTTGTTATTTTAAGTCTTTTAAATTGTAACTGTTCTCTTGTATGTGTAGTAGTATTTCTTTGCGGTTCTATTCACAGCCTCCTGTTAACTAACTGTAATGAGCATCTTTCCTTAGACTTACTGCCCGTACATTTCTCTGGGCAGTGCATGTTAAAACCTTTTGTTCATGTTTTAGTTGGGTTGTTTGCCCTTTTATTTTTGAATTGTAGGAGTTCTTTGTATATTCTCAATACAAGCCCTTAGATGTACAGATATATGGTTTGTTACTATTTTCTGCTTGTCTTTGGCTTACCTGTTCTTTTCATGGTGTCTTTTGATGGGCAGATTTAAATTTTGATGAACTCCACTTTTTTATGGTTATCGCTTTTGGTGTTTTTCTGAAGAAATATTTGCCTATCCCAAGGTTTTAAAGAGATACTCTTTATTTTCTCTAAAAGCTTAACAGTTATAGCTCTTAGGGCTTTGATCTGGTCTTATAGCTCAGCAGATGGTCTGTCTTGGTGAATATTCCATAGGCTCCTTAAAAAAAAATGTCTTTTATACGTTGGGTAAATGTCAGTTACAGTAGTGTTGTTCAGATCTTCTGTGGCCTTAATAACTTACCTGTTTGCTCTACCAGTTACTGAGAGACAGGTGTGTGATCTATGCTGTGTAACATGCCGCTGCAAAACTGAGGAGCTTCAAACAATTTACTGTAAAATCTTTTTCAGTCCTCTGTGCCTGTAACGAACCACCCTGAAACTTAGTAACTTAAGATATTTTATCACTTAGGGTTCTGTGGTTTGATTAGGGGTGCACTGGACAGTTTTTTTTTGCTTGGAGTCTCCCATGTGATTGCAGTCCGATGTGGACTGTGGCCAAGGTCATCAAAGGGTCCCTTGGACTGGCCTTCCAACTGCGTAATACCATAGAGGTTCATCTATGTGATAGTGTAGGTCAGAATTTCCTTCCTTTTTAAGGCTGAATTAATACTCTCTTGTTCATATGGATCCCATTTTGTTTATCCATTCAGCTTTGATGGACATTTGAGTTGTTGCTACCTTTTAGCTATTGTGAATAATCCTGCTTTCAACAGAGGTTTACAAATACCCGTTTGAGTCCCTGCTTTCACTTCTTTTATGCATACCTGAGATGCAGACTTGGTGGATTCTACAGTCATTCTGTTTAGCTTCTTTCTTTTAAGCATAAATGAATAAAAACATTCACCTGCTCTAATGTTCACAGCAATTTTTTAAAAAATTTTCAGTCCTGTTGAAATTCTTAGAGTTAGTGGGTTTTGTAATGCTTAATTTTTTACCAACATTTATTTCTTTTCTATATCCTGAATTCCTTTCTTTATCAAAAGATAGTATTAAGGGGTGCCTGGGTGGCTCAGTGGGTAAAGCCTCTGCCTTGACTCAAGTCATGATCTCAGGATCCTGGGATAGAGCCCCGCATCGGGCTTTCTGCTTGGCAGGGAGCCTGCTTCCTCCTCTCTCTGCCTGCTTCTGCCTACTTGTGATCTATGTCTGTCAAATAAATAAATAAAATCTTTTTAAAAAGAAGATAGTATTAAGATACTAATGTGATTAAATTAGTATGTGATTTAGTTTTTCTACTAGTCATGTTTCATTCCTTGAAAATTTTTCTGGTTATTAATATTAATTAATTGCAGCCTGCCATATTTTAATCTTCTAAAGCTTGTCCCAGATACCAAGAGCTTATTTGTAAATTTTTAAAAAATTGAGGTATAACTGATATATTACATATATTAGTTTCAGATGTATAGCTTAGTGATTTGATATTAGTGTGTTTTGTGAAATGATCCCCGCAATAAGTGTAGTTAATATCTGTCACCATACATAGTTACAAATTTTTTTTGCTTGTGGTAAGGAACTTTAAGATCTACTCTTATCAGGGCACCTGGGTGGCTCAGTGGGTTAAGCCTCTGCCTTCGGCTCAGGTCATGATCCCAGGGTCTTGGGATCGAGCCCCACATCTGGCACTTGATGCTTGAGAGTCTGCTTCCCACCCCCCTTCCCCCTGCCTGATTCTCTGCCTACTTGTGATCTCTGTCTGTCAAATAAATAAATAAAAAGTCTTAAAAAAAAAAAAAAAAGATCTACTCCTACCAATTTTTAAGTATGCAATGCAGTATTAACTGTGGTCACCATGCTGTGCATTACATCCCAGTGACTTATTTTATAATTGAAACAGACTATTTGAAGATGATAACGTAAGCATGAATGCGTTCTAAAGCTCTCCATATTTACACCGCCCGGCCATGTCTTAGTCACATTTTACATGTTTTTCTTGTGTATCCTTTAACTTAATGATTGTAGTTATTTTTACTATTTTTGTCTTTATAAGTGATTAATCTACTATCTTTACTATATATTTACCTATTCCAGTGAGATTTATACTTTCATATGTTGTTACTAATCAGCCCCCTTTACAGCTGAAAGAAGGCCCCTTAACATTGCTTGTAAGGCTGGTTTAGTGGCGATGAACTCATTTAGTTTTGCATGTCTGGGAGATTCTCTCCTCCAATTCTAGGTGATGACTTTGTGAGGTAGAGTATTCTTGGTTGGAAGTTTTTTCTTGCAGCACTTTGAATATACACAACAGATGGTTTTTCTTTTGCTGCTTTTAATATTCTCTCCTTGCCTTTACCTTGTGATATTTTAATTAGAATATGTCTTGGTATGGGTGCATGTCAGTTTTTGAGGTAATTGCCATACAGTTTCCCAGCAGCTGTACCATTTTACATTTCCAGCAACGAAGGGTTCCATTTCTCCACATCCTAGCCAGCACTTACTGCTTCCTGTTATTTTTGATCATAGCCATCCTGATGGATTTGAAGTGCTGTCTTAATGTGTGTGTGCTCTGTGTGTGTGTGTGTGTGTTAAGATTTTTATTTATGTGAGAGAGAGAGAGAGCATGAGCAGTGGGAAGGGGCAGAGGGAGAAGGAGAAGCAGACTCCCTGCTACGCAGGGAGCCCAATGTCGGGCAGGGTGTCAAAGCAGATGCTTAAATGATTGAGCCACCCAGGCATCCCCTTATTGTGGTTTTGATTTGCATTCCCCTAATGACTAGTGATGTTAAACATCTTTTCATTTGCTTATTGGCATTTTATGTGTGGTCTTCTATTCAAGACCTTTGCCATTTTTAGTGTTTTTTTGTTGTTGTTATTTTGGAGTTCTTTGTATATTCTGGATATCAGTCATTATCAGATTAGTGACTGGCAAGTATTTCTCCCATTCCACTGGTTATCTTTTCACTCTGTTGATAGTATCTTTGCAGAAAAGTTTTTAATTTTGATGAAGTCCGGCATGTACCTATTTTGTTCTTCTGGGTTTTTTGTTTTGTTTTGTTTTTTGTTTTTTGTGTGTGTGTTTTTGCCTGTGCCTTTGGTCTTGTATCCAAGAAATGATTGCCAAATCCAATATCATGAAGCTTTTCCCATGTGTTGTCCTCTGGGAGTTTTATAGATTGAGCTCTTAAATGTACATCTTTGATCCATTTTGAGTTAGTTTTTGTGTGTGGTGTAAGGGATGGGTCCAGATTTAAGGCTTCTTCTGTTTTTATCGAATGGTCACAAACTGGATGTGAATAGAATGTGGAATTTTCTGGTTTATTAGAAACCGGTGAAAGCCTAGGATATAGATAAGATGCTATTTTCATGCAACTGACATTGCTGAATGTTAAGGGAATTCAGAGTCGTTGCAGTGAGGTTAGACATTTTAAGTAAACTGGGAAAATGGGTGAGGGCTTGAGTGGAGACCTGGTCACTTGTTCAGCATCTATGAATATTCTCATCACTTAGGTTTTATTTTTCTGACCAGAGGAGTTTTGTGCATACATTCTACTAAATTTAAATATGTTCATTATATTTAACTTTGGACAATGATGATAGCTACATAATAAATTGAAATCTTACTCGAGTCTCTAGTTTTACTACACTCTTAACTCCTGTGGAGGAAAAAAATGAACTGAACTTACTAGTAGTGAAAAATCAAAAGGGAAACATGAGTGAAATTCCGTAGTATGTGTAATTTTTCACCTTTCTCAGGGATTGAGGAATGATCTGAAAGCTGCTTTGGATAAGATCGACCAGCAGTACCTCAATGAGCTTGTGGGTGGTCAGGAACCTGGAGAGGAAGATACACAGAATGATTTGAAAGTTCATGAAGAAAACACCACAATTGAAGAGTTAGAGGTAATCTTTACACCCACCTGATCTCATATCTCATTTCCCCATCACATCCTTCATTTGCTGGGGCAGATGATGCTTGATTTGATCGTGTTGTTCAATTCAGAGCACGCTACTATGGGCTGTGGTCATTACAAAGACCCTTTTTATAAAAAATTTATTGCTTTTATTTATTCACTCCCTCTTTCCTCATTCTCCACTCACATTACCCTACTTCCTGCCTTCAGAAGTAATCATTCTGACATATTTGATGTGCATCCTCTTATTTGTTGGGGATCTTTGTAAAGCCAGTAGTATTTTGTATGCTTATGTTTTAATATACATAAATGATACTATACTGTGAAATTTTTCTTTTAAAGGTTTCTTTTTTTCCACTTGGAACTATAGTTAAGATCCTTCTTTGATGCTTTATGTATATCTGAACCTTTGATTTTAACTGCTGCATAGCATTTCCTACTTTATGGCATTCACTCCCTTTTACTTTTTGTTCCCTTGTAAGGAGAGCTGGATTTCTCCCAGCTCCCTATTACTACAAACAGCTTCGTGATGAATAGTCTTGTACGTAACCCCTGTGGACTCAGAAGCAGGATGGCTGGATTTATCTATGTGTAACTTGTCCAAGTACTGTCATGTTGCTCTCTGGAATGGCTGTACCAGTCTGCACCCCCATCAAAAGTGTGTGCGTGCCTTTTATTCCCACAGCACTGCCAACACTTGGCAGTATCTTGCTTTTTAATTTTTGCCAGTGTGTTGAATGTGGAATGATATATGTAATCCTAATTAAAAATCCATGTTATACTATCTAAATTATCTCGCTCAAGCAGAAATTACGGCTTAGTTGAAAGCTTCTACTGCTTAATAAACAGAAACTGTTATTTCTCTGTTTCTTTTCATTCCTGGCTGCGCTCTTTGTGATATCATAGTTGTTTTAATTGTGGCCCTCCTCCCACCCCCCAGCACCTCTCTATAGATCCTAAATTTGACAGAAATAGTGTGAGAAAACCATTTCTGGCTTTTTTCTTAAATAGCTTTATTGAGATACTCACTTTACAACTTAACCATTTAAAATGTACAGTTCACTGGTTTTTAGTATATTCACAGGTTGTTGCAACCATCATCATGACCTAATTCTAGAACATTTCTGTTCCCTTAAAAAGAAATTTATCCATTAGTTCCCTAAGCCCCTCCCCCCTTTTTTTGTCTTTTGATTGATAAAAGATACCTTCCTGTCTAAATTTCAATGACAGATTGGTGTTTTCTTCTTTTTTAACTTACCTAGAAGTTCCTTTGGGTTTTTTAAAAATAGAAATTAGTATATATAATAAATATCCATGTTCAGACTGGTGTTGAGAACGACCATTCAACTGTTGGTCTTCACTAATGAATAGAAGCGTTGTTTTTCTGCAGGCATTGGGAGAGTCTTTAGGAAAAGGCGATGATCATAAGGACATGGACATCATTACCAAGTTCCTTAAGGTATGTACTTTTAGGCCTAGGAAAGGGTATTTGGGTTGGTTAAAAACTGTTGTTTAATTTTTGGATGATTTAAGGGTTAAGGACTGGAAAGGAAATCCCTCAATAAACATGTTTTGCATGTATACAGTTTATGATATTGCTGTGCACTGGCATTTGGAGGTTAATTAAAGGAGACGTATATTTACTTCACTGCAGCACTTTAAAACTGACTTGTCAATGTAAACAGACAGAAAAGAGTCACAGCAGTGGAATGAACAAGAAATTGGGGGATTTTAAAATTTTTAAAAAACATTCCAGGAGAGAGTGCAGTGAGGGGAGTATTCCAGAAGCTTTTATGAGTGGTGATGACAGTAGGGAGAGTAAGGAGGTGGGAAGACCTTGGCAGTGGAAAAAAGCAAACCTATCAGCAACCTTTCAGAGACTGTTCATTTTCTCAGTTCTGCAGATAGCTGCGTATTCCTGCTGTGATAAGTTCAATCCATCTTTCTCCTCAGCATTTCCTGCTTTACTGGTTTAGGTAGAGTGTTTGCAAATGCCAGATTCATTTTAGCATTTATTCACAAACCATTTGTGTTTAAGCCAAGAGATTAAAATGCAGGAAGTGCTTTTATTTGTATTAACAGTTTAAATACAACATATTAGTCATCAAGATTCTCAGTCTATTGAAGATATGGTATGGAATTAGATAAGCTTGGGAACTAGTGTGAACTAGAATTTTCCTCTCTGAGTGACAGCCTCTCCTTATAGGGGGTACCCATAGGTAATGCCACTAGGGGGAATATGTCCTCTGCCACCTTCCCTGTGTATGTGCCTCTAGGAATGGTGCTCTTGATGTGTTTGAACCCAGGGGGCCCCAGAGTGGTTTTCCAGGACCAGGAGGAGGGGTTATAGTTTCTGTTCTTTGTTTTTTCTTTCTTTCTCCTTTAGTCAAATGCTTTAGTGGGAGTATTTAAATCGTCCCTATTGCCAAAAGCAGAAAGTCCAAATAGAGGTGTACCCCACTTTTATAGTGCTTGGTTTTATTGTGCTTTGTTGATAATGCTGTTTTCTTTGGTGATTTTGTTGTTGTTGTTTGTTTTTTTTTGTTTTCCTGTAAATGGATGGTTTGTGGCAGCCATGTGTGGAACAAGTGTACTGGCATTGTTTTTCCAGTAGCATTTGTTCACTTTGTATCTCTGTGTCGCATTTTGGTGATTCTTGCAGTATTTCAGACTTTTTCATTGGTACTATATTTGTCATGGTTAACTGTGATCAGTGATTAGGACATGAAAGCTCTGATGATGATTAGCATGTTTTAGCAATAAAGTGTTTTTTTAAGGGGGGAGGGGGAGAGGAAGAGAGAAAATCTCAGGGAGGCTCCATGCCCAGTGCAGAGCCTGATGCAGGGGCCCAATCTCAGTCTCATGACCCTGAGAATAGACCTGAGCTGAAATCAAGAGTCAGATGCTTAACCGACTGAGCCACCCAGGTGCCCCAGCAATGAAGTATTCTTTAGTTAAGGTATATACATTTCTTTAAGACATAGTGCTGTCATACACTTAATAGACTCCATTACAGTGTAAACATAACTTTTATAAACATTAGGAAACTAAAAAATTCATTTGACTCACTGTATTGTGATACTTGCTTTATTAATCTGGTGGCGTGGAACCAGTCCTGCAGCGTCCATGGGGTGTGCCTAGAGCACAGCAACATACTTGGAAGATTCAGTATCACAGAACAGTAGGTATTATGGCAAATGAATCTAGGTGGGTTGAATTTTAGTAGAAATACGAGTAAAAGTTTATTTCTGTCAAGGTTAGCTGTGAAATTTGAAATTTGATAGCAGGAAATTGTTTGTATTAGGAATGAATATATATGTATGTAAATATAGAATAGGGAAGTTAGTGACTTGTCAAGTCACTACAAACACACATGTCATATATGACAAAATAAGCACAAATAGTTCATCAGTTAAATATTGATGCTATTTTAATTAGAAAAAAATTTACTTTAAAGATGATAATACATTGTTGAGTGTGTTAGAGAACTTTTAAACCTTTTGAACCACTGGGTGGCATCATAGTCTAAATTTACCCATTCTTTCAACAGTTTCTTCTTGGTGTTTGGGCTAAAGAATTGAATGCCCGAGAAGATTATGTGAAGCGCAGCGTGCAGGGCAAACTGAACAGTGCTACTCAAAAACAAACCGAATCCTATCTCAGACCCCTTTTCAGAAAGCTACGGAAAAGGGTAAGGTTCCTTGAAAAATGCTTTCACATAACTGATTTTTTTTTAAAAAAACAGACTAAAATTAGTATAAATGGCAGTCTGTAATTATACACAATAGCTTCCATAAATAGTTACACTTTTTTTTTCTTTTCCAGAATCTTCCTGCTGATATTAAAGAATCCATAACAGATATTATTAAATTCATGTTGCAGAGAGAATATGTAAAGGTACATTACCATGCTGTGCATCAATGTTATGGTTATGAGCTTATCTAGTTTGTGTATACATAGTACGTTCATTTGATGTGGAAGTATTTTACATAGGAACTTTAAGATTAAATGTGAAATGAATTAGTAGTAAAAAACAAAACCTTTATTTTCTAATTCATTGTCAGCTTTATTACTAGGCATCGATAATAAACTTTCCTGATCACATTGGTTTCTTAGTCATTTTTAAGATAGGTGTAAAGATTCTTCAGAGCATGAATTGGATATAGGCAATGTTCATTTCATGAATGGGATTGAATTTCAAAGATTGTCCAAGATTATGGCTTAGAACAAATTTTCCCATAGAAACATAGATTAGTTTCCCAGGCCAGCTATAAAAGCCTACTTAATCCGTAATATAGCTGAACTATTGTACTAATGATACAATGTAATTTAACCACCCTTTATACTTGTATGAGAAAATGTTCCAAGTAAGGCTGCTAGAATTCATGCCTCCCATTTCAGAACAGCAACAATAGCAGACCCCTTGTTAGGGAAGACGTTTCCCCCTGCCCCAGTGTCTTTGTAGGCAGTGGCAGGGGGAAAGAGCTCCCCACAGCCCAGCGCTCCTGGAGTGGAGTTCAGGAAGGGGAGTGGGAAGCTGTCACTTGCTGCAGGGAATGGAAGGAGAATGGCCTGGTGTACCAGTAGTGGGGATTGGAAACGTGCCCCTGCATCTGGCCCATCAGCAGAGCCTGAAGAGGGAGGCTTCTAGTGGCAGTGCCTCTCAAGAGCGAGGAGGAGGGAGTTTCAGCGCAGTGGTTCCCCTGTCCGTTCCAGAGCCGTAGGTGGGGCTCTGGCAGAAAAGTGGGGAATGCCAGGCCTTACTCCTGTACTCGGAGTATCTGTAGTAAACAGAGGGTTGCCTGGCATGCCTCCCGGCTAAAACCTTGTGCTGATGAGGTGAACGTAGTGTTTTTACTCCCTCTGAGAGCCAGTTTATCAAAGGAAATGTTTTTTGTTTTGGGCCTATAAATTTTATTCCTGGATAGTTTCTGTTAGTTGCATGGTACTTAGTAAGGACGGTTACCTTGGAAGGGATGGATAATAAGGTCACCATTGCTGCAGAAAGAAATCAGATCACTTGCCTACTAGAAAGCATGCCTTCCCTCTCGTTGCTTTTTCCACTTTTATATTTGAGAAGCAGGTGAAAGTTTATTTTGTGTAAACTGCGGAAGAACCAAGAAACTTTAATAACCTATTCGGACAGCTTTCTTCAGAAATTTTGGGAGACTAAATATTGGAAATTTTATCAGTTAATAACCAGTGTGAAAATGGACACAAGTCAGAATCTGATAAGTGTGTAGCATGCTCTTTAAAATTAAGCTTTGTAAAACTGAGTAGCGCAAATTCAGGGTAGATCTAGTTAGCCTATTTGTGGTACCTGATTTTTAAAATCAACTCTGCATATCAATCGTGTATTTGATTTTTAAAAATAAAATCTCTTCAAAACCTGGGTATTTGGGGGCGCCTGGGTGGCTCAGTGGGTTAAACCTCTGCCTTCGGCTGAGGTCGTGATCTCAGGGTCCTGGGATCGAGCCCTGCATCTGGCTCTCTGCTCAGCAGGGAGCCTGCTTCCCTCTCTCTCTCTCTGCTTACCTGTCTGCCTGCTTGTGGTCTCTCTCTCTGTCAAATAAATAAATAAAATCTTTAAAAAAAAAAAAAAAACCTGGCTATTTGAGCTTCTCTGAAACCCTAGGGGTCTTTCAGAATTTACTTGATTTCTGTTTATTCTTTTTTTCCTCCTAGGTAGCCAGACTTGGTTTAGAAAAAGAGCCGTTTGTCTTCACTGATTTCTGTCTTTACATTTTGTAGCTTTTATTTTAAGGTTCTTGGCAAGTGGGAGATGCAGAAGGGTCAAAGTGAAACGATCTCATCCAGTAACTATTCAGCTCAAGGGCTAGTATTTAATCTCTGTTTACACATCTGCTGTGGACCCTGTGTGATAGTCCCAGCTCACACAGCCATCCCCACCCCGCTACCTCCCCCCACCCCAGCTTTCAGAGGCAGACAGTGGATATAGTTGCAGGTTGGATTCTGAAAAACCAGTTAGCCTCCATCTTCTCCATGTCACCACCTATAGAGAAAACTGGGTCTAGAGGAGACCCAAACTAGAGTTGCATCAGAGTACCTACCTGGTAATTCCAGATCTGAAATGTATTCATTGCGGGGGCATAAAGGCTGCAAAGGAATGTTTGTCTTTTTACTCACAGGATTAGCTTTGGTTTCTGGTTTTCCATGGACGTTTGTGGTCCTGGGCAGGGCAGTCCTGACACCTCATATTTTAATTTCTTTTGTTTGAATAATGGAAGTGATAATACTTGCAACATGCTCAAGAGATGGGTGAAAATTGTGTTGTAAGGGGCTGTGAAATACTTCACAAATTGGGACCAACCCAGTATTTTTGTTTTTCTGATCTCTTAAACTTTTCTTTTTAGGCTAATGATGCTTATCTTCAGATGGCCATTGGAAATGCCCCTTGGCCCATAGGTGTCACCATGGTTGGTATCCATGCCAGAACTGGCAGAGAAAAGATTTTTTCTAAGCATGTTGCACATGTTTTAAATGATGAAACACAGCGGAAATACATTCAGGTAAGCAACTGGGAGGGAGAGAAGTTGCTCTGGAGGTTAACGTTCTGCAGTTCCCAAACTGTCAGTTTTTGAGAGCAGGAGAAGAATTGTAGCAAATTGGATATAATATGATAGGACACAAGTCCACTTTTATAAGTACTTACACTTAAGACCTCTTCACAGAATAGAAGAGAAACCTTGTAAGTTTCGTATATGACGCAAGACAGGGTGAGACGTTGTGCTTTAATTCCCTCAGCATTGGAATAATGCTGTTTCATTTGGCTTTGGGAGTTTGGTGAAGAAGGACAAATTTAGACTGTTTAGCAGTAAATCTCATTTTGTCATTTTCCAGATAGATCTCGTATCTACTGGGCTAAAAAGGTATGAATAGTAAAAATCCGACTTTAATGAAAAATTATTTTTCAGTGACATTTAATGACACTTCTTGACACAAACAGGGTGAAAGGGTAATAGTTTATTTTTTTACGGTCCTCTTTGCCTCACATAAACTTGTTTGTGTTATTGTTGGGTAAAACTTTTCTCCTTGGTGGAGGAAGAAAGTCAACTGTTACACCACTACTGCCAAATTGTCAAAAATCCCAGATTCTGTCTGAATAAGGACTTCTGCCGGATGCTAATTCTAAAGTTTGAAGATGATACTCGGGAAGTTTACTTAAAATGTAAAATTTGCTTAGAATGCATAACGTGCTTTCAGATTTTGTGCCAGAGAGCAATTATTACCATATTCATGAATTATCTTGTTATGTGATTTCAATTCCAAGTGCTGAAGATTAACTTGTGCGTCATGCTTGATGCCGTATTCATATATATTAGCATTTTCAAATAGTACAACTTGACTCCCTAATATGAATTGTAGAATTTATAGAGTTCAAATATACTTGTTGAAATTCAAAGACCTTTCTGTTTTTTAAATAACCACTAGTGACTGTTGAAGGCAAAAAGCTTTTATTTCAGTGGGGGGAGGGGAAGGTCGTTTGACTTTAACAATAGAAAACAGTTTCCGATGATTAAATTTGGAATTGTGTTCAACTGTGCCATAGCCAAAGCCAGAGTGTGTGTGAAAGTTCATATAACAACATAAATTGTCTCAGGGACAGCTTTTAGGTTTTTCAACAATAGCATGATTTCCACTTCCCCACAAACCGATTTTCTTCTTAAAAATATATCTAACATTTTTAAAGATTCCTGGTTTATTTTTGAAAGCTATATAATGACCTGTTCTTCCATTGGTCTTCTTTTTCAACTCTTCCCTTCCCATTTAAAAAAATCTTCCTTTTTTTCCCGAAGATGATTAGGGAAAATTGGTAAATATACTGAACTTTAGGAGGATGTTTGACCTAAACCTAATACTTTTCTCGTGGACAGATGTTGATATGTTAATACAGTCAGGTAGACGCATAGCTGGTTGAGTGAGGGATGCCTCAGGACTCAGTAATGGATCCATGACTCTTTGGATGGATGCTAGTGAGATATCATGGGGTTCTTAGTTCTCAATCCTGTCCTGTTAAAACATTTTAATGACTGATTTGGTTGGCTCTATCTATAGAGAGGTTTATTTATCAGATTTATGGACAGATTTAGGGTGTGTGTTAAGGTGGAAAAGGACGATGGCATTCCAGCAGTTCTTGACAGACTGAAGGAAAGAACAGATTCTAAAAATAAATATGTAGCAAGAATGACCATAAAAAAATTGGATCCAGAGAACTGGTTGCTTGAATATACAGTCTGAGCAATGTAGATATGAGAAAGGATTAGGGAATTGTGTAGGCTACACAGGCTGTAAAATTAAGAGTATGATATGACTGCTACAGAATCTAATGGTAGCTTATGCTACATTATTAGACATAATAATTTAGGTGTAGGTTCCATAGGCAAGAACATGGTTCACTGTTACATACCCAGAGTCTAGAACAGTTCCTTACTCAGTGGTGCATGCTCAGTAAATATTTGCTGATGGAATGAATAGTGTATAGGACCTGAAATGTGAAAAAGTCTTGTTACTTTTGTAGTTCTTGAAGGAAAGGAGACTGTTGGTGGGGGATCTGAGCAAGAGACCTGTAGATAATGGTGGACCTTTTCTGGCAGAAAAGGGAGTAAACTTGTCCTATAGTTAAGGATCAATTGAAGTAATAGGAAGGAAGATGCATTTTTTTAAATCAGTGCAAGAAAACAGTGGTTTTGTTAAACTTTTATTTTAGAATAATTACAGATAAACTCACAAGAGGTTGAAAAATAGGACAGAGAAGCTTTTTAACAGAAGTGCCCTGAGACAGGAGTAGAGCCACTGGGAATATGTGAGGGAGATCCCTGCCACTTGATGTTTGCCAGCGTCAGGTTAATTATTGCCCTTTTTGCTCCTTGGATATCTTTGATTCTGCTCTGCCATTTTTCCTTGAGGCCATTGCTTAAACCTAAGGTTGCAAGCTCACATGCCCCGACAGTCAGTAGTGAGTGAGCCGAGTGTGTAAGAAACACTTGAGCCTCTGTCTTTTGTTTTCCTACTTCTCATATAGGCAAAATCGAAGCAGTATTTGATTTTGTCTCAACTCGTTGTAACAGGGGACAGTGGAGGCTAGTGTGCGGTGTCAGCTTATGCATGACCCTCACTGGTGCTGGAGTTACTTCAGCTTGTTGTTCCCTCGGAGGGATAATAGTAGTGTTCCACCTTCCACTTTCTTTTTAATATGCTAAATATCTTAATTTAAAAAAAAAAAAAATTGAATGGTTCTATTTTTAAAATAATGGCACCAAATTATTAAAATTAAATTAAAATAGCATTGTGTATGGACAAGTAAAATGTGCGAATCAGCTCAAGGCCAAAAAACACTTCCATCTCCACATGAGAATTTTATGAAATTCTTGATGGCAATGAACGGACTCATTTGCTAAGGTCTTTTGAGTCTCCCTCCTTTTACTTTGGTGTTTGGGTGAGGTGGATTTGGACTATCCTTGGAAAAGGAACACTTTAAATATATTACTTGAAGATTAAGTCAGGGGTTGACAAACTTTGTCTTACAGGATCAGATAAAAAATATTTGAGGCTTTGCATTTCCTAGGTGTCTGTTGCACCTCTTGGACCCGGCAGCTGGGGTGTGAAAGCAGCTGGTGGCTGCAGTCCAAGAGTACTATACTTAGGAAAGAAGCGGGTGGCCTGTGGACCCTAGTTTGCTGACCTCCAGTAAACTGCCTGACCCACACGTTTTCTACTTTAAGATACTGGCGGAGTAGGCAGTAATGGAAATACTTCAATAGGGTGACTATTTCTACTAAATTGAGGTACAGTTAACCTATCAAAGGCAGTGAGTGTGTGAGGTGTACTCATCTTCATTGGACCACTCAGTGATTCTTGGTGTGCATAATAATTTATCAAGACAGAAAACAACATCTAGGTGCAGAACGTTTCTGACGGCACCCCAGGAGTTTGTTCATGCCTTTTCTCAGCTCACGTCCTCCTGCCATCAAAAATAACCAGTCTTCTGACTTATGTTACTATAGGTTAATTCTGCCTGTTTTTGGACATCATTTAATGGAATCTTAGACATATGGAATAATTATTCTTTTATTTAGAAATCCTGGTGAGAAATATCTGTGTTAGAAAATACGGTTGAAAACAATTCAAGGGGCTATTTTATTGTACCATGATTTCATCTTTGGGTTTTATGTAAACCTCTATAGAATTTAAACTGTGAAAGTTGTTTGAAGTGTTCTCTTGCTCACAAAAATTAAACACACCACAGGGAGGCTTTTTTCACCATGCAGATCAAAGAAAAGCTGTATAGTTTATTAGCTAGCCTCAAGTCTGGGGTTAGATTTAAATTGGTGTTAGTAACTTCAAGAACTTTGTTTGTTTGCCAAATACAGATGTAACCTTTGGCCCAGTTTTGGGTAAAGCTTCTTTTATACAGATTATAGTAAGCTCTTGCTATTGAGAGACTATAATTGAGTCATTTAAAGACATCTCTTGAAAAGGTTCACGTCTTGGGCATTCTTTACTTGTCTGTGAAGACGAGGAGGAGGAAGAGCTAAAATGCACACCAGGTGGCTGTTTGCTCTGCAGGTCACTCTCCACTTTTCCTCACCTTGTCCTGTGCCCCCAGAAACCTGGCTTTTATGAACATTGACAGGCTCCCTTTTCTTGCATCCGAGAGGGGTAGGCAGTGACAGGGACGGGAAGGCATTTTGTAGGTGGCAGAAGCACAAATTTGGGGTATTTATTTCCCCGCCTTCCTCCCTGTGGGGTCACTGAGGGTTAATGGCACCTCCTATCCAAGGCCACAGCTTCTCCCAGATGGCCATCGGCACACAGTTACCCTCTCTGGGCTTCGGTTAACTACCCCCTTTCCTTGCCTCTCAGAGCACAGGCTGGCTACTGCTTCCCAGTGTTGGTAGTTAACAGGGTACTGTACTGTCTCCTGTTGGTCCCATGTCCTGCCCATTCCATGCCTTTGTAAAGTTCTGGGAAATAACTACCATCAAATTTTCAAGTTTGAGCGTGCTCTTTGTTTCCTGCTGGTAACATCCCTGATATATCTAGATTAATTGATCTGTGTACTGTGTTAGAACAGATTTCTCTGGGGATTAGATGATTAAGGAGTAATAATTCATTTTGAATAATTTTTCTTAGAGTTGCACATTATAAAAGGCAAATGTCCTATAACAGTGTGCTCTGACAGTTGTTTTCTGTAATCTAAGTTAGCATATTCCCTAGTAAAGACATCATTCCAACATTTTCTGTCAGTTACTTCAATCCGTATTTCAGGTTTTGGGGTATATACTAACATTTGTAAATTTATAATATATTCATGTATTGCCCAAAATGATAAAACAGACACTTTAGTCACTGCACTGAGTGGTCACAACTTGAGCCACACATTGAATAGACAGTCTCATGGTTAGCTGGTAAACATTCCCTGAGCGTCAAAGCATATGTCACACTTTTGGGTCATGTGGCTTCATGCTGCCTCCTGGCATTGTTGGCTATGACCTGCCATTTCTTAAAG